TTTTTTTGTGGTTTCTTTTTGTTGCTACGCGATAAGCATATATAATATATATACTATAGTTGACGCTACATTCTGTGTAATGAGCGTATATTTTCCACTTAGTCTGTTGCAACGGAAAACAAGTTTGCATAGAATGCAGCGCCAACTATTTGTGAATTTTATTTTTTATCGTTTTAGGCAATAAATCTATGGTTTTCTTATGGCTTCTTTAATCCGAATCGATTTTAGCTCATTGTTTGACTTTGGAGAATATTAGTGAAGTGGACTACAAAGATACCCCTGCATGCACAAATTCGGTGCGATGTGAATTTGTTATGCACAAATGATGCACAAAATATAACCACTGAGAAATTTCAAGAAATTTAATCCGCATCGATTTTCGCTCATTGTTTGATTTTGGAGAATATTAGTGAGGTGTACCACTGAGCTACCCCTGCATGCACAAATTCGGTGCGATGTGAATTTGTTATGCACAAATGATGCACAAAATATTACCACTGAGAAATTTCAAGAAATTTAATCCAAATCGATTTTCGCTCATTGTTTGACTTTGGAGAATATTAGTGAAGTGGACTACTGAGCTACCCCTGCATGCACAAATTCGGTGCGATGTGGATTTGTTATGCACAAATTATGCACAAAATATTACCACTGAGAAATTTCAAGAAATTTAATCCAAATCGATCTTCGCTCATTGAGTGATTTTGGAGAATATTGCTCAAGTCGATTACTGAACTACCCTTGCATGTACAAATTCGGTGCGATGTGAATTTGTTATGCACAAATTATGCACAAAAAAGTGGTGAAGACATTTTTTTATTTTTGCAATTATTTAAAAAAAAAGTTTTGAATTTGTGTGGGGAAATTGACGTCGAATCGATTTTGATGCATTTTTCACAGTGCATGACTGATCTGAAGGCATATTTGGCATGCACAAATTATGCACAAAAAATTGCATCCAAAACCGAAATTCACCACAAAATATAAAGCTGAATAACTCATCAGCCATTTATGCACAAATTCTAAAAATGCATGCACAAATTCGCACAAATTATGCACAAAAAAATGGTATAGGTTTCAATAAGATACTCGAAAGTGACTTGCTGGAGAGTGTAAGCCTTATATGTGTGTTCAGACTGATTCAAATCGACTTTAAATATATACTTCCGAAAAATAGTGTGCAATGAGCCCTTCATATCTCAATTAGATTGAGACCACAGATTTCAGAATGTACTTTTTTTCATCTCTTACAAAGCTATTAATTTCGTTTTACAGTTGCTTGCTTCCCATTTTTCTTGCAGCTTTTCTCTTTCCATGTCAGTTTGTGGTTCATTCGCAATCGTCTGTAATAAATAGAATCATTAGCGTGATATTAGAAGTAAATAAAAATGTTTTTTTTTTTTAAGATTTCGTTGGGATAATTTTTCCAATCAGTAAATTCAGCCTCAAAGCATAGATAAAAAAGGTCTATCACAGCGGACGGCAGTTCGTTACATATGACTACACATGTATCTCTTCTTTCACTATGATGCGTTCACTTGGATGAAATTAACACAAAAAATAGAGTTAAATAGAGTGCGTAGCTCATTTTGAGGGGTAGATGCTCTGCTAACACCGCAAGTGCGAGTCACCGTGCTCAAATATTTCTCTCTATATGTGTATGTATTAATTTTGCATTCATTATATGCCACCTGGGGCCACATTTTGTTCCTAAATAACATTTAAATGCTAAAATATACGGAGCCTGTATGCTTGAACTCCAGTTAAAAATCTACTATGTCGATTAAAATAGTTTTCTTTGTAGATCTTGGGATGTTCTTAAACTCCCACATTTCTGTTTTCATGAATTTGGGAAACTAGCTAAAACTCGATAAAAGCTGAATAAAAATGTATTTCTGTACTAAATAAACTGAGCAGAAGGTGAGTATGTGATAAAATTTTGTTTATCGTTTCCAGCAAATTATGATTTGTACAGAGCAGCGAAAGATATGCGAAAGTTATATTGCTGTTGCTTTAAATGGGTTAAAAAGTTCTAAAATTAAGCGGTGAAAATCTAACTTTTATTTAAAAAAATACAGTGTGCAAAATGGGAAAATTTATTCTATTCAAAAAATTGTACCTTCGTTGATCCATATTTTCTAGGATCAAGAGCGCTTCCAACAGAAGCTGCGAACTTTGTTAACGGACTTGTTAATGTCTTCAGCTGTTTTATTGCATTTTCACTTTGTGAGTTTGGTAAATGCAATTTTAGATCTCGATTGACCGACAAACTAATAAAACACAATAAATATTTTTAAAAAATGAAAAGTTGATTTGAAAAGTTAAGATTGGTTGGAAGTTAAGATTGGTTAAAATTAAATACCGTCCATCATCTTCGCTGTACAATGAATCACTTGTTCTCATGTCAGCCACACTGTGGCACATTTTTAGACCGTTGTTTTTATCTCGTTTACCATCTTCAGTTTCTTGAACATTAATTTTAGGTGTTACAACTGATTTTTCTGGTAAATCGCTAATATCTAACATTTCTGGTGGTAGTTTCACATTATCGGTTACTGATGACATCGAAATGCGAGCAAAATTCTCCAAGTTTTTATTGTTGTTTGATTTCCGGGAGTCTGACTGATTAAGTGTCTCTGCCATTTCTGCTGCATCTACCATAACGATGCCGACACCTTCTAGGAATGAATTATTGTTGCATTTACTCGTAGACTCAAATGTTCTATCTGATTCATTGCAACTATTTCCAGCACTTTTGTATAACTCCAAATTGGTACCGGGCTCTATTTCCGATTCTTCAGTAGATGCTATGATATTGATATTGCTCTTTGTTAATGTGGATTTTTTTCCTGTCATAATCTTTGGATGTATATTATCGCCGAATTTGGTAAATTGTTCAGGAACATTGGTAACTGCTTTCGAACCAACGTGAACGAGTTGAGACTCGGAGAGATTTCTTTGCATACCACCTGGAATGTCCAGTACATGAGTTCGACTTTTTCTATGCTTCATATGACCATCGTTTGTAAATTTGACATGACTATTGCCGCTGTTTTCTAACGCAACTCGAAAACAGTCACCAATTGCACTTAGAGATTCTAAAAAACATTAAAATAAAAATGATTGAACAAAATTATTTAAATATAATTATTTTAAACGAACCCATAATCTCTTCGGGAGTTTTGATGATAACAGCCACATTGTTAAAGAATCGAAGTGATGCTGATCGTAACATGTGATAAAATTGATCAATACCATTGAAAGAATAGTTTATTCGAATGCAAAATTGGGGTGTTGGTGTAATTTGGAAAATTTTTGAATACTGAAACCAGCCTAGTTCAATTTCCGTTATATGTTCAAGTAATACTTTTTCGAAGCGTACCACTTTATCTAAATTTGAGTCATATTCAGCAACTAAATAACATTCGGATGTGAGCAGCAAAACTGTGTCAACTTCATTTTCACCAGCATCACCGGTACTGAAATTCAAACAATACATTCTTATTTGTCAGAAAATCAGATCACATAATATTGTGTGTTTTGGAAATTTTCTTACTCTGGATCTGCATTTATCAATCCCCATGAACCTAAGGGAGAATCACAAAAGAAAAAAGATAAATAATAGAAATTAAGACCATTGAAGTAATAAATTTTGGCTTAATTTATCAATAATGGAAAAGTAATTTTTTAATGATTACCCATCGGTAATTCGGTCAAACCAAGTAACATGCGTCGACAATCTTCCACTAATTGGCGTGCGTGCTCAGTTGCCTCTGTGGCATCTTCTTCGACTAAATTCTGATTGTCCATATTCAGCATGGATTCGGTTGAAACTTGATTTCCTAGCATAAGATCAATTATGTCTTGACGAAAAGAATCTTTAAATCGCGCTAAGTAATAACTGTAAAGAAAAGAAACAAATTGTGTTTGAATCAAAGTCAAAATCAGTGCGATTTCTTTTTCATGGCACTTTCTCTTATATTGTATACATCTATGCAAAGTTTGCCCCGACCCGAACGCCCGACCGATGACCGCCCGATCCCGACCCGGAAAAAGTTCGGGTCGGGCGGGATTTGGGCCAGATGCTTCGGGTGTTCGGATTTTTTTGGATATTTCGGATATTTCGGACGTTCAATATCATGGGCGTCCGAGTCCGATTGAGTGTATTTTGGAATTTTTTTAGAAAATCTCGTGAAAAACAGAAAAAAATAATGTTAGAACCATTTTTTTTACTTTTTGTATCAGTTAAACGAGTTCGGGGAATCACAGGTTTCGATAAAAAAAATTAATTTCGGGTCGGGCTTCGGTCGGACTCGGACAAGGACACAGGAAATTCGATCGGGCCTCGGGCCAATTTTTCCATTTCGTTGCGACCTCGGATGCAAACATATGTATCAAAAATTAGTTAGCTGCACAGAATCAAAGAAATAAGAGAAGGAAAAATCCATGTGCATAGTCTATTTCGACCCTTTTCGGACATTGTATACAGATTTGTATATACATTTTCCAAAATTCAGATTTTATAAGTTTGATAAACAGAGCTGGTATTTTCACTCTGGTAGTGTGCCGCACACACAGTAGACTTTGCACATTCAGACTGTGTGCGACGCCCACAATGCCTATATTCTTGGAAGTTTTACATTTCAAATATTAGTTTTGAATTTTTCGACAACTGTCAAACTTCTATCTAAACTGTGCACCATTGAAAATATAGGCATTGTGTGCGCCCCATACAGTTTATGAGTGCAAAGTCTACTGTGTGCGCGCGCACTACTCTGCAGCAGACATTGGGTTTGAGCTATGGATATAGCTGCATCTATTTCCTAGGACCTATTCCATAGGCGCTATGCAATGCGTGTATAAGACTTCATGTCTTGTTCACTATATTCTACGTACCGATTGGCGGAGTTCATTCCATCTTTTACTAATCCAGAAAAGTTTCGTTCACCTGTCCTCGTGTAATCTCCCTAGAAGTATAAAATGTTTTTTTTTTTAAATAATATGACGGCCTTAGAAGAAAACAATAACATACAAAACATGCTGCAAATAATACTAATACACTGCCAGTTTTTGGCCGTAGAGCTTAATGTGAAACGTGGAACCGTACTACTAAGAAAAACAAACTACTCGACATTCATATTTTGAATTTTTTGCCACAATTTTTTTAAAATAAATTACACCTTGAAAATTGATTTTGCCAATATTTTCCTCATATTGCCTCAACGACTACCTATGCGCTCCCACTTCAAAAAGTTAGTAAATCCTATAAATTATATAGATGGTTTTCTTAAAAGCTGCGCTGATGATCCATAAATGGTGAAATCGTTCAATTCATCACATGGATTTCGTTTTTCTCTAAGGTTTTTGTCAATGCCATAATTAAATTGAAATTCCAAAACTCTTCACAAGTTTGATTGGCTAATAAGCTATATAGCGTTAGAAAGAGGACTTTGGGAGCTATCATCTGGCGAAATTTAATCAAAATCATAGAACTAGGTTGCTTGCAATGAAGCTCGAAAATGTACTTTACCTATATTTTTCTCATTTTGGCTATATTGGCACCTATGAAGTTGAGCTTCAAAAAGGCAGTAAACCCCATTCTTGGATTCTTGGATTTGGACGGGGAGCATACTAGGTCTACTTTCCAGTAATATCCATAGTTTCTCGTTGCTCAGGTTTATTAACCTATTGCAAGACGCCCGTTAAGTTATGATGCCACTCGACTACAGGGGGCTCTGGTGTGATTTCTTTGCTTAATGCTCAATTGAGCAAAGACCTTCTACCACCAATAGTGTGAATTCTTAAAACTCAAACGAGCAAAGACTTTCTACCAACAATGGTGTGAATTCCTAAAACCCAATTAAGCAAAGACATTCACCACCGATGAGCACTGCAGTTGTCGTGAACACTCATAACTCTACCATGCTCCAGATGGCGCTGGGTTCCTCTATTCAATGTAGGAATGCCACCACTACTGATTTACCGGTATATTCACCAGTAGTTCAGCACTACCTAGTGGGCATCACACCAGTAATAAAAAGCCGCACCAGCGGAAAACTAATACTGTGGGTGTGCGGAAAAGTAATAAATTTCCCCTTGAAAGTTGACTTTGCCAATATTTTCACTAATTTGGCCTCAAACGGCCACCTGGGAAACACATTCACAAGTTTGATTGGCTAATAAGCTATATACCGTTGGAAAGAGGGCTTCAAGAGCTATCATCTGGCAAAGTTTCATCAAAATCATAGAACTAGGTTGCTTGCAATAAGATTCGGAAGCCGATTTTTCTCACAATTTTTCATATTTCGGCCAAACGGCCAGCGTAAAACGCCATCAAACCTGCCGGAAACTCCATAATTTATATACCATTCGAAAGGTAATTTTATAAGGAATCTAAAACAATTTGGTACCGCGGGTGTCTCCAACTTTTTTTCAACAAGTTTCATCTAGATCCAAAGTAATCAAATTAACACTGAAGTAAAACTCATTTATTCCATCGTTTATCCACCCAATAAAGTTGCGGAGTAACGTAATTCCGCCCGAATCCATTCGTTATCCACTCAATAAATGGTGAGTGGAATCGAAATATTTTTCAAAGTGGAATCCAAAAAAGAGGGTCCATGAATGAAAAAATTAAATGGGGAGCACTTAT